GCTTGGCGCTGGGGAAAAAAAGCCCTCACCTCGTGGAGGTATTATTTCAGTAGGGACAGTCAGTACAGCAGAGGAAGGGGCTGGGCTGATGGAACAGGGTACCTTTTCCCACAGGGTGGTCAGGACAAGAGGGGGGAAAGGATGCAGCTATTTGAGGAAGAGCATTTCCGGCAGAAGGAAGGAGACCTGCCCAGGTGTTGGACAAGAGGCTGCTTGGTGCATTCAGAGACACAAAGGAGGCCAGCGTGGATGAGAAGAGGCAGGGGCAGCCATGTGAGAACACATGGGACTTGCCGGCCATGAAGAGGACCTTGGATTGCTGTTGAGTGAAACGGAAAGCCAATGCAGGATCTTGAACAGAAGAGGGACATGATCAGCCTTATGTTTTGAAATGGTCATTCTGGACACCAGATGGAAAATAGACAGGGGCTGGGGTGGGGTTGGCCAGGGCAGAAGCTGGGAAGCCATTTGGTGATTGCAAAAGTCACACAGAGCTGTGAAAGCAGAGCTGGCCTGGGTGAAGGAAGGGTGGAGGCGGAGGGAAGCCTGGCAGCTCCTCCCATGGGCCACTGGCCTTTCTTCTCCCGGTCTCTGAGGTTCCACTGTGGGACCCGGGGTGCCTAGGATTACAGTTTGAAAGCTATTCGACTAGAGGGTCTCTGACGGCCCTTGCAGCACTGTCTCCTGTGCTCTTGTGTTTCAGGCCCGTGCTCTACCAGCCAGGCCTCTGAAAATGTCAACTTGAAAACTGAACAGGTTCAGGGTGTAGGAAGGGGAGAGATTTCAACATTTTAATTAAAAAATGTTTTTAATGTTTAAATATTTGTAAAGACAGGGCCTTCCCATGTTACCCAGGCTGGTCTCAAACTCCTGGGCTCAGGCGATCCTCCCACCTCAGCCTCCCAAAGTGTTAAGATTACAGGCATGAGCCATGAGATTTGGAAACTTAACTCAGCTCCCATGTTCAGCTGCTGAACGTGGCCAGCCCTGTGTGGGGATTGTAATGATAAGGGAAAATGTCTGCTCCAAGAAACTCACTGGCTGGGATGGGAACTAGGGAATCACACAAATGACCCAGCCTAAAGTCTGAGAGGCCCCCGGCCGCTCCCTGCCTGGCCTTTCTTCCACGCAGCCCCTGAGCCAGTGGCTCCCAAACTGGGCAGGTCTTGGGGCCATCGAAGAACTTCGGAATATGCAGATGTCCAGACTACGCCCTCAAAGATGTGAATTCAGTTGGCCCAGGGTGGGTAGGGCCTGGGACTCTGTTCAGACACAGACCTGGCCTGAAGCCTGGGAGCCTGGGCTGTAGGGTTCAGTCAAAAGCAGAAGCAGGGAAACTGTGTGAGAGGGCGTCTGCCAGCTTCACCAAGCCCGTGCTGGGCAGGATGAGGGAAATCAAGTCTGTCTTCTTGTGGAGCACTGGGGTGGGGAGGTGGGAGGAGGGGGTGGCAGCTCCTTCATGAGCTGTCCCTAACAGAGGCCCTTCTCCCAGGAGGAATGTTGAAAAGCTCCCAGGAAGGAACTGCTGGGTGGGGAGACCATGGAAATTCCCCATCTCCCCCGACCTCTCCAGCCTCCTCAAATCCACCAGCTCCTCTCCCCATGCTTGGGTTCTTTCTTGGCTCAGAATATCTCCCCTGGGTAGAGCTACTGATCTGTGAGATCACTTAGTGACCTGAAATATTTCCAGAATACAAGCAACATTGACAAAAATATTCCTGTGGGGCCCCACACATCTCACTGAGGAAGAACGTTTACAGGTGGGGACTAGTGTCGGGTATGGCAGACTGGAAGGCGGGACCTGAGATTCATCCCAGAACTGGAAGGAAATCAGACATTCCCAAACAGAGGGAGCAAGATGGGAAGAGGGAGGAGGGAGAAGGAGGAGTGAAGAGAATGAGGTTTCTACAAATGAATGGTAATTTTCTCTCAGTTACTGGAAAGAAAAAATAAATAAATAACAAAACCAGACCTTGGTCCGTTCCACTGTAAAGAGTTCTCTGAGTCAGACTCCTCTCCTGGAAGTTGTGAACTTTATCCTCTGGTAGCCACTAATCTAATATTAAGCCCCTTAACCTTCCTAATTGTTCTGTTTCAGCATCAGCTGGTTTCACATTAACCTTGCAATCTTGCCTCCAGCTCCAGCCAGACCCGCTTCGGAGCTGCAGTCAGCTCAGACCTCTGCCTGCGCTTGGCAACGCGTCCCCGTCCTGCTCCACTGCCACCTTTCTCTCTTCTTCTTCACGTGCTGTGAAGGCGTCACGGAGGGGTGTTCAGCTCCTGGATTCAGGCTGCACACAGCCTGAGGGACACCCTTTACAAACCTGCACCTTGCGCTTTGGGGTCTCCTTTGTTGTTTTGGACCAAGGCTGTCGGTGGGAGAGGGCAGCCGCCCGCCTGTCGGAGCGAATCAGCCTCAGGCGATTTCTGTGGCTCTGGTATTTGAGCCTGTTCTCCCTGTCTCCCAGGGAGAACGCACTGAATTAGTCTCTCTGGGAAAGACAGAGCCTGTCGCCCAGATGCTGAAGGATCATTTGGTAACTGCCTATATGGTTTCCCGCTGTGCTCATGAGCGCGCATCAGCCCTAAAGCTGGCCCGTGCCTCCGGCTCCAAATGGCCAACTCAGAGGCACCCCCTTGCAGCCAGCCGCACAGCCTGAGTGGGAGTTCTGGCCTCTCCTGGCAGTGAGTGACAGTGTCGCAGGGTCTCGGACGGCTTGGGTAATTGCTGACTAAATCTGAGCAGCCGGGGAAGGTCTACTGGTCCACGGCAGAGCCAGGGGGCGCGTTCTCTTCTCTTTGCTAGTCACAGTAAAAAAAAAAAAAAAGGCTAGAAAAATCCTAAAATTCACCATCCAAGCCCCCATCGTGTGGGGACAGAGGCCTGGCCTGAAGCCTGGGCTACAGGGTTCGGTCCGAGGCAGAAAGGCGAAAACTGCCTGAGAAACGTCTCTGTCGGTTTCTCCGAGCCCGCGCTGAGCAGGGTTGGGGGCAGGCCTGTCTTCCAGTGGGGCGCTGGGGTAGGGAGGCTGAGTGGGGGTGGCAGCTCCTTCATGAGCTGTCCGAGACAGCTGCCCTTCTCCCGGTCACCACAGACCAAAGCCAGCTCCTCCTGGGGGCTCCAGCCTGTCTGTTCAGTGTCTGCGTTGGGCCTTTCCCTGGGGAGGCCACCCGGCACCACCCCAGGCCACCGCAGGACCGCCTCACTGAAACAGCCCTGAGGGTGGGAGAGAAGCAAGCCCTCCGCACCCCGGGCCCCCAGGCCCCAGCCCTGCACCAGAATGGCCACTGGTGTTTTCAGGCACGATGCCCCTTTCCACGAGCGCACAGAGCCCTGGGCTGAGCAGGGGGCCGAGCTCCACTCTCTGCGCGGCTCTGAGCTGCATGCCAAGGGGCCTTTCAGGTGCACTCTGCACCCCCGCTCCCCGGATGTAAGGATATTGCCCCTTGGACGAAGGAAAGGCCCCAAGTCCACAACTCGTGTTTGTGAGCTTAACCTTGTCCTGTAAATACGCACTTTGGAAAAGGCCCAGGTTCTCCCACCACGTGCCGCTGCTTTGGGCTGGACAGTCGCGGCAGGCCCTTCGTGGAAACCCAGAAGGTTTCGCTCACTGCATGTGAACCCTCAGGGGTGTACTGGCCCTGGAGGCCAAGGTTGCTCTGGGTGACAGGCAACCAAGACTAAGGGCAAACATGAAACATAAACGAGTTAAAACCCACAAAAATAAGACAGTTTTTAAACAACTAAACACTGTTTTCTCATTCTTCCCTTATCATCTGAGGACGTTTTAGGCAACTGAAGCCGTAGATCTTTCCTCCTTCCATTGGGTTGATGATGTTTAAAATCATACCCAGTGCTGTCTCATTTGCCTCTTGCTCTGGGCTTACTGGTCCCAGGAGGGAAGACTGGGTGGGTGAAATTGGATGGGCTCAGGGGCTGAGACTGTCCATCTCTCTGAGAGTCAGTGAGGGGCAGCATTTATCAGGGGTCTGGGGTCAGCCAAGCTCGGCCTGGGCTCTGTGGGAAGATAAAACCTACTGGCCCAGATGGGCTCCTGTGGGGCCGGGATACTATTGGGAAGATAAAGTACTTGAGCCTGATAAGAGGAAGGAAAAAAAGCAAAACCCAGGAGAAGCAACGCAAGTGATTCCAATGCACATGAATTAAGTGCAAACTCACAGGATTGGGCGGGGGGTTGACTGGAGAAAGGGTAGTCAGGGGTGGTCAGCCACAGAAGATTGAGTGGGCTCTAACTTGGACTTGGAGGTAGAAGAGAGAAGTTAGGGAAGAGTTTGTTTCATATTTGGGTAGGGTGGGGGGGTGTGGATAAGTGAAGTCTCTCTCTCTCTCTCACACACACACACACACACACACACACACACAGCTTTGAGTAGGAAGAGGGGCAGGAGGATCAGGTTGGCCTAGACAAGTCAGTCCTAGCCTAAAATGTCACACTCAGGATTCCTGCAACACCTCCCCCATACCAACCCCCACCCCAATGGGTTTAGCCTTCCTTCTTCTCTCCAAGGCAGGCCCGCTGCCTGGGGTGCCACGATCATTTCCATAGCAACCAATTACTCTGTCACAGAGACATAATTCTGACACCAGGTAGGTTATGAACAGAAGAAACATGAAACCATGAAGTGACAGAGATCCAGCTTTCCAGTAAGTGCCGCGCTAATAAGGAAGAGAACATGCACAAACTAGAAGATAAATGGAAAAGGAATGAGCAAATGCTAAATTTTCCATGAGGCATCAGCTGTTTGCTAAAAACAATAGCAACCTAATAGGCTCAACAAGAATGGTGCTGGCAAGGACAGCCCGAACCAGCCTCTGTCCGCTGCAGAGCAAGGCACGAAGCCAAAGTCCAGATTCTCATGGGTCAGGGTCCAGACTCCCCGGGAAACCAGCCCACACCCTGCTCCTGAAAGGCTGTGGGGACAGCCCACTTCATGCAAACAGGTGAGACTCCAGCCCCACCATGGCCGTGGGAACCTACCTCCTCTCAGAGCCCAATCTCAGGTAGCCAGAAGGCTCCGGGGGCTTTTCCTCCTAGGAAAAAGAACTGGTGCACCCAGAGAACTCTCCCGCCCCACCAGGTATGGTGCAGGAAGCAACAGAAGCCTGGAAACGCATTCAGTCAACAAGAAACGGCACCCAGGGCTCTGGCAACCTCGCTCGTGGCCTGCTTCTGCGGACGCTCTGGCGAGGCCAGGGCCACATCCTGCTCCTGCTTGCTGTGTGTGTGTGTGTGTGTGTGTGTGTGTGTGTGTGTGTGTGAAGGGGCTAAGGTATTGGAGGACGCCCCCCCAGCTCTAGAAGCCTCTTGTGTGTGTGTGTGTGTGTGTGTGTGTGTGTGTGTGTGTGAGAGAGAGAGAGAAGGGGGCCAAGGTAATGGAGGACTCCATCTCAGCTCTGGAAGCCTCTTTGTGTGTGTGTGTGTGTGTGTGTGTGTGTGTGTGTGTGTAGACAAGGTCTTGCTCTGTCACTCAGGCTGGAGTACAGTGGTGCAATCATAGTTCACTACATCCTTGACCTCCTGAGCTCAAGTGATCCTCCCACCTCAGCCTCCTGAGTAGCTGGGGCCACAGAGGCACGCCACCACACCTGGCAAATTGAACTTTTTTGTGGAGACAGGGTGTCACGACATTGCCCAGACTTCCTTTGTGCTAATAAAGCTTTTCCCATCTGAAAAAAAAAAAAAAAAAAAGCCGTGGATGCACAATGTCAGTTTGTGAGGCAGAAGGGAGATGCCTTAAATGTGCCGTCTCAGTCCTGCACACATCCCTAGTGCTTTTCCTGGAAAAGCCGCGCTGCTGCTGCTGTGAATCCAGCATGCCTTCGCCTTCATTCATTCACTTATTCATTCATTCATGCATACACGCATTCAAAACTCATCAGTGCTAGGCAGGTTACTAATTAGAAATAATTAGGAGAAAACTCTGAATTACTAGGTGTTTAGAAGCAAAGCATTCTTACTCTAAGGCATGGCTGAGATGGTGCCTTCAGAGAGAATCAGAGTCTGATCCAGCCTGAGTCTGCCACTCACAGTCTGTATGAGCTTGTGCAAGTCACCTACCTGTCTTGGTCCTCGTCTTGTAGATGAGGTGGTTGGTGATACTTCCAAATCTGTCTTATTCAGAGGCCTGCTTTAAGTGACTAAACGCTAATGTCAGAGTGAATTGATGTGTTGGATGTTTTCACAGAGCAGAACCAAGATCGTTTACCTGTTTACCATTTATTTCCACCTTCTGTTGATATTGATTGACTGTCACAGATGTAGTAATCAGAAATAAAGATAAGACATGATGGTGGCTTCAGGGCCCTCGTAGCCAGGTCGGGGGGACAGGCAGGCCCAGGCTCAGACCCACAGGGCACAAGCTAATATCTAAGTATGAATAGAACTCATCAGGTGTGGGGAAGGGCATCTCCATCTGTGGTCACGCACTCTCTCCTGGAAGGAGAGGCAGGAGACAGACTCAGAGGAGGAGCTGCAAGGAGAAGGGGTACTGAGGAAGCCCCACAAGACCCAGGAACTTTGGTGGGAGGAGCGGGGAGAGAGATGCAGGCAGGCCATGCCAGGGTCTGTGCTCTGACATCATGGTTATCCTTCTCGAAGACGTGGAGATTAACCAACCACACAGAGGAAGGGGCAGTAAGTTAAGGAGCAAGAAAATAAGCAGAGTCCCAGGAGGGAAGAGCATAAGATCTGGGCTTTGTGCAGGCATATTTGCCTCTAAAGGAGAGATCCCAGGTACTGCCTGGTGCTGTCATCACAAAGGCCTAGGGTGAGGCTAAGAGTTGGGCACCTGGGGAGGAGCAGGGAGTGAGAGCCCAGACTTGGAAAAGGCTAAGAGAACATACTAGGCTGCCAGAAAGCCTGGAGCACTCACCTGAGCCTTCTGAGCTGTGGGCGAGGTGCTGTCCTCTGCCCTAAAACCAGCAGAGGGCTTAACGCGTGGTTTCACTGCAGAGCTATGTCCGTCTTCTCCATAACTCCCAGAAGATTTGGGAAGTGAATTACAGACTGTGGTGCTAAGGGGAGTCTTAGCCAAAGAGACAAGTATTTGCCTCTGAGTTTTCCATGCTTGTCTGCTTAACAGAATCACGAGGACTACTGCAGCCTCCCTAAAAATTAACCAGTTAATCAACACGCACTTTGCAGCAGCTGCTTGCTATATTTGTTATGCTACAAATTCTCAGGGCTCAACAGAGGCATTGTTCACGTCCTTGAGGAGTTTAGAGTACAGCTGGGAGTTTGCAAATGCAAGTGAAAGGTTATACGAGCTAAATTACGTCTATTAAGGGCTAAACCAGGAGTGCAAACAGAGGGGATTACAGAGGTGGGAGAGAGAGCGCGTATACAACCACAGAGTCCCTCAGGTCTGGCTGATCAGGAAGTCTTCATGGAAAGGTGGAATTTGTGTGGGTTTTGAGGACAGCTAGATGGAAAGAAAGAGGTCAGAACAAACATATTTGGGAGAGACAAGCCTTTGCAGATGTATTCAGTAGCTGTTACCTAAGAGGAAACCTGGGCACCGGCATGGAAAGAGGAGATTTTCTGACATTGGAAATACACTTCAGTGTCAACTTAGACCTAAGCTTGAATCCTGGGTCTGCCACTTAGCAGACAGGCCCGGGCAAGCTCCTTAACTTGCCATATCTAAACTGCCTCATTTATAAATTGAGAGCGTGGATAGTGTTATCTCAAAGGCTGTGGGGAGGATTGAATTAATGTGACAGCAGGTAAAGCACTTCCAGGAATTCTTAGCCCCTTTTCCCTTTCTTGGCCCATCAGGAAAGCTGCATTTGAGACCAAAGGGAAGAATTATTCCGGAAGTCCCGAGTGCCCTTGAAGAAGTAGATAAACAGATTGATCTGTGAGAAAAAAAAAATATGTTCTCATCCAGCCCGTGGGGTGGGTGACCATGCATGCTTTTCTCCGGATGCTTGACTTCCTGAATCTTCCCTGAACAATGCCGTCTCTGTCCTGGCACCCCTGGCAAGCAGGCCCATGTGAGCCAGGTTCTTGTCACATGTTCTTTTCCTGAAGTGAGTCACTAGAGAAGTGGGCTGTGGTCACAACCTTCACCGGCCAAGGGAGGTGAACGTGGATTGGAATGAACACAAACACTTGATGGGTAATGTTCCTTTCCATAAACGTTTTGCCCCAGGCCTTAACCTTGCAACTCAAAAAAGTAGGATCCCATAATGAATGGGATAAACTGAATGACCGCTTGTAATCCACAAACAAAGGGCCTTTCAACAGCCCATGGTCAGAGGCCTCATCTAGTCCAATCAAATCCAGCCAGTTGCAAGGTGGAGGAAAAATGGGTAATCCTAGTGAGAATGAATCCCAGAAGAAAAGTGAAAAAGACATTTTGTTACCTCCTCCAGAAAAGTGATAATGAACAGAGAAGGGAAAAGTCTAAATAACTGAACTTTGGGAACTGAGTGCATGTCTCCCTCTTTAGTCGTATAAGCATAAACTGACATTATGATGGCAAGCATAAATTAAGATCAGCAGTGTGAGAATCTATGTGGAACCTTCAAGACCTTTTATTTCCTCAAATTAGACGTGACCTCAAAAATTGATGGTGTCTTCACCCTGGGCAGCTACTGTGGCGGAACAGAAAATAGTAAACCGGGATTGGGACAGGCTAAGTCCTACCCGTCACCCTGGCTGTGTGACCTCGGGCATACTACCTTTGCTTCTCTGGGACAGAGGGTCTTCGTCTGAAAAATGAATGTTTTTTTTTTTTTTGTTTTGATAATTTACAGTTTTCTTTCAAATGCCTCCAACCCCCCAATCAAAGTTTTTATTTTTATGGCAACTCAGACCTTGAACCTTAAAAAAAAATAAGGTAGAGAGGACAGCAGTCCTTACCAGTGTCACTCTAACACCCTATACAGCTCCTCAAACATAAGCCCAGAAGGGGCTTCGCTTTAGTGGAAGTCCTGGGCCTACATTTGTATTTTTAAGTGAAACCCAGATACTTGCTCCCAGAGTGGTGTCAATGATCATCCCCAGTTTCCAAAGTCCGGCCGGTACAGCAGGTCATTCATTCCGTGAGCTGTTCTCATTGACATTCAAACTCCAGCTGGTCCTGCTCCACGAAGCCCCAGCTCTACTCTGCGATTCACTGCTACCAACGCTCACTGCATGTCGCTGATATGGCAGGCCCAGCCCTGCAGAAGCTCTCACTTCAGTAGGGAACACGGAAATACCTGTAGTCCAAGCCTAATGGAAGCATAATGTCCTGTGACAACACTCAGGTGGGTGACAGTCATTCTAGCTTGGGCAAAGCTTCCTGGGGAGGAGGCTTTTGTCCTGAGCTTTGTGAGATGGGTAGGATTTAGGCAGACCGAGGCAAAGGAAGAGCATGCCAAGCAGGTGAAACAGCAGGAGGGAAGGCAAGGAGGCAGAAGGGTACACGTCATACTTGCTGGATCTCCAAGTGTCTAAGGGTGATGAGCTTAGAAATTCAAGAAGAGGCCTTGTCGTAGAAAGCCTTCAGGATTCTAAGGAATTCAGACTTTAGGGCAGGACATGGGAAACCATGGACATTCTTGAGCAGGGATGTATCATGGTGGGACTTGTGCCTCAGGAAGAGCAATCTGTCAGCAGAAAGGCTTGGGAGTGAGAATAGAGGCAGGAAGGACGATGAGGGTTTTATTACAGAAGTCCAGACCGGTAGTCATGCAGGTCAGAAGTTCGGTGACGAGACCAAAATCAGAAAGGAGGGAAACTCTGGACAGGCGCTGTAGCAGCAGCAGAACGAGGGCCCTGGGGCTGATGGGGTACAGGGATCAAATTCACACCCAGGCAGGAGAGTGTTGAGAGGGAATCCAGCCATCTTCTTGTCCTGGGCTCACAGGGTGGTTTATCCTGGGGCTTGTTGTGCAGTTCTCTGATGTCAAGAAATGAGCGGGCTGGCCGGGCGCCGTGGCTCAAGCCTGTAATCCCAGCACTTTGGGAGGCCGGGGCGGGTGGATCACGAGGTCAAGAGATCGAGACCATCCTGGTCAACATGGTGAAACCCCGTCTGTACTAAAAATACAAAAAAAAATTAGCTGGGCATGGTGGCGCGTGCCTGTAATCCCAGCTACTCGGGAGGCTGAGGCAGGAGAATTGCCTGAACCCAGGAGGCGGAGGTTGCGGTGAGCCGAGATCACGCCATTGCACTCCAGCCTGGGTAACGAGAAAGAAACTCCGTCTCAAAAAAAAAAA